CCTTTGAGTTTATCAGATTCACCATCAGTGCAATCGTTTATATCACGGACTGAGGACATATCCAAATGCCTAGACGTTTTGGAAGCACTTAGAGGCTGAATCTTAGTCGCAGAGAGCTGAAATGTCGGCGTTTTGACGTGCTTGTATAACCCATTACCATTGCTCGTTATCTTGCACTCATGGTATGCCTTAAGTCCTAAAATGCAATCCACAACCTTGGTCACTGATCCAGACTCTAGATTATCCTGTCACATTACACCTCATACTCAATTATTCATACCTTATATAAAGAAAAGAAAAATCTCCAAATATGTTACCTTTTCAAGATCAGAAGCTTCAAATCCAGGAAGCCTCAATGTTTCTAAAGCCACAAGAAAATTCCGAACATTCTCGAAATATTGATAAGCCGGTGGAAGTTGATACTCTCCGTTCATATACGAGTAGTTCTCCACAACCTTAAGTAAACAATGTAAGTGTCATGAAGCATTCCAACTTTCTAGGAATCTGAAGAATTGAATAAAAAGCAAAGAGTACCTTGGAAACGGCTCCTGGGTGGATCTTGTTGATTGCATTACAAAGAATCATACCATTTCTCAAGCAAGAAATGAACTCCTTCTCCGATGGCTGATTCGGTATGCCCAGTTGACCCACTACAGATTTAAGCCATTGCACGGCTTGAAACCTCCTCGCCGCTGCAACAGTTAACAAATCAGAAACAGAACTTTCCGATCTTCTTTCCGAATCAACCAGAGAAAATGTTACGAACCTGCTTCTTCGGCTCTTCTTGAAGCCAGATTGAATTCGTGCAACCCAGTTGTCATTAGAGTCCAAATCCTCGTTAATCTCTTCCTGGGGAAAAAAAATTTGATTAGTCAATCAAAATCAATGCACATGAGAATCAGCCAAGGAAACAAAATCGAAGTTACCAATTATGGACTCTGTTTCTTTCCTTCTGGGCAACAGATCAAAACCCTAGAAAAATTGAAGAGAGTCTCGTCTTCTTCTTCTTCTCTGATTCTGGTTCTTTGAATCGCTTAGAATGTTTTCTTTATAATTCGAAGCTTTCTTTCATTCGTTTTCTTTGTGTTTTCTGGTTCGGATATTTAGGTTCGGATCCTAACCTAAGCGGACAAAATTGTAACGTTAACTCTTTTACTGTGTTTGAATTCAAATATCTCGTGAACGAATATTATCCGTCCGATTCGCATATGTGTCAACGGCTTCTGATTTCTCGAAGATGGTAATGCAAAGCAGTTTTAATATATTTTTTAATTACATTGGATTTCAAATTTGTTAGTTATGCTAATTTTGGGAAATAAATATCATCTTTAACTAATCATCACGATTTTCAGAGTTTATACAGTACCACATCCTAGATTTCTCTACATTTGTTAAAAAAATTAGAAAGAGATAGAAAGTATTAAAGGGTTTTTAAGGGGTTCACCAATCATTTGTAGAGATGTAGGGATTTATTCCTATTAAACGTCATTAAAGATATTTTTTCCAAAAATGTAACGTTTTTTGCTTTTGATTTTCTTAACTATTTGGGATTGTCTTCTTTTCTTCTACTGAAATACTTAAAACAAAATAAAATAAGGGGTTTTTCTTTTTTTTGTAAAAACAGAATAAATAATATTTTCATATTTGTAAAAATGATTCTAACATTTTATTGATATAACTGATTAGACAAAAAAATCTTCTTCTAACTAATACAAAAGACCATTTTTATTAGATAAAAAACCACACAAATGTCTTATGTTCATATTATTTAAACTCGCATCCAAATTCTTTTGTATCGATATTATTCTATCGGAACACGTTAACCATGAGCATGGATGTGAGTATAATAAATGTAATTGTAGACTTCTATAATGAATAGTACTAAGTTAGTGCATTTTGTGTCACTCAAATATAAAATTTTGTGAAGAAAATAGCTCCAATAAAAAGTGATGATTAGTGTGATAATCTACGTTTCTTCTCCATATGTGTTTCAAAATTGAATTTTTCATGCCACATTTACCTTTCAGATGATTTTTTTTTTCTAAATCGACCAGATTATTCATAGTTTCTTTGATATCTAAAAGATACTAAAAAAAATTAATTTTCAAATATCTATGAGTAAATTTAAATAATGTGTCCGATGACGTAAAGTTTTGGGTTTAGGGCTCTAAGAATGTTTTGAGTTTTGAAACATTGAAAAACTTTGTCCTAAGAGATCTAGGGTTGCATATTCATATTAGTCTTGCTCAGCCGTTGGGTTTAGAAATTCTTTAATAAAATCAACGGTTCAGATTTATTCGACGTGTCGCGTCAATTGCACGCGACCCTACATGTTCGGCGTTTTTTGTTTTTTCTTAAATAATTTAAAAGTCAGATCGTAACTGTAACATCTACTGCATTACCAACTTAAATGTATATGAAAACAACATTTATGTTAAATTGTTAATGTTAGTATGAATTTCAAACTAACTTTAGTAGAATAACAAGAAAATAATGGATAGAGTGATGAGAGAAATTACTTATTTTTCCTTGATAGAGCCAAAAAGTTTATAGATTATGCGAACCATAAAAATCTGCATTTTCACAAACTATTAAGACACATTATTGCTTTATGTGAATGATCACATGTGATAACCAATGCATCACTAATGAATACTCTTTACACATCCAGTCACAATAGATTTTATAGATCATATCCATAAGATTATTAACACTTAAAACATAAGTGACCTAAGAAATAAGAAGAAACCAGGCAAAATCTGGAAGACAAATTAAATCTAATCCAAATATTGATAATCTGTTACTAAATTCCGAGAGAAGACAACTTTAAAAGAAAAGGGTACCACACAAACGTGAATATGTACGATTTATACATGGCGTAATAATTTGATTTTGGCTTCTTCATACCCATTTGGATTACTTGGCCTCGAAACTTAAGAAAATCGAGTTTCACTTTTTGAAACACAAATGTTGTCGTTAATGTAATTGGAAATATTGGGCTCTAGTCCATTCAAACTTATTCCACAAGACTTGGTTACTAAGGTTTTGCTCATATGAAGAGAAGAGACACGTCTGAATCTTACAGAAGCAACGACGAGAAAGATAAAAAATAAAAAATCCAAAAGCTCACAAAGAAAAGAGAGTTAGAAAACAATCACTCTTCTGTCCAAAAAAAAAGAAAAGAAAACAATCACTCAAGCGACAAGGAATGGTAAAACAGTGAGCATGAAGTTCTCGTAATTGAAAGTAGCTGAGCCTGATAACACCGTATCCTTCTCCTTAAACTTCTCGGTCAGCCCCTGCGATTTTATCAAAACACAACATACATTATACACATTGTAGAGGAACAATCTTGAATAATTCAAATGTGACGACCCGAGCAATGAAAATATCATACCTTTACAGTCAAACAACACCTGCATCAACGGAAAAATAAACCAGAATCAGTGATGAATGATACCTCTTACTTAGTAAGAAAAAATGTAAGGAGGGTTGAAACGAATGAACATACTCGATGAAATTGTCATATTCAATAGCCCTGTTCCTGCCTCCGCTTTTGTCAAACTTGGAAACCAGCAGATCCAAAATCACAGGAGACACTGAAAACCCAAGGCTCATGAGTGCATCTCTCAGCTCGTTTGTATCTATTCTACCACTTCTGTCCTTATCAAACCTCTCAAAGATAGACTGAAACCAATTCCAAAAACCCAAAACCACATAAGTTAACTCCAACATTCATTCTTGACCAACAAATATCATCAAACCATTAGAAAAACCTTTTAAACTTACCCTCCAATTCTGAAGACTAAAGAAAAGAGAAGTAAACTCTTTTGGTCCTGCAATTTGGAATTCTTAAATCAATATATACTCCAAAACCAGGCTTAGCATGAAGTATAATAATTAAAAAGATTGACTTTTTAAAATAGTCTCAACTTGAATTAATAAATTATATAACTTGAGGATTTGGTATAACGGAGAGGTTTGGTGCCAACGATCATCAAAGTCAAACCAAACAATTTGCACAGGAAAGTTCAACAAGTTAATTCCAAAAACTCAAACCTAGATCGTGGAAGCAAGATAATGGAACCTTCTAAGAAGAGCAAATTTCACTATGATACAGCAAAAAAGGAAAGACCTAGAACAATCAATTGAGTAGGAATTTGAGATCAGTTTGAAAGAAAGAAGAAACTGACCAATCTTCCTGACATTGCTGTTGGTGAAGAGATACATAAGAAGATGAACAGTTCTTATGCTGAAGCTCTGATTATAGGAAGAGAGAGCTCCCTGAAGCTCCTTATCATCGATGAATCCACTATTGTCCCGATCCGCAGCTTGGAAACAAGCCACGATGCTCGGATCTGTTCCGGGAGGAAACGCCGACGGAACCAGAGACGCAAACGGACTTCCATAAGAAGCTTGCTGAGGAGGAGGAGCCCCGTAACCTCCTCCATGTCCTCCGTAACCACCGTAACCACCGGGAGATGGAGATCCGTAAGCGCCGCCGTGAGGTTTTTCTTTGTGCGGCTTAGTATGGTCTCCTGGAGGAGACGCGTACGGTGCTGACGGTGGTGCACCGTAAGGCGCGGGCTGAGCTCCGTAGGGAACAGCGTACGGTGAGGAGGCTGATGATCCGTACGGAGGAGGATTATTGCCGGATGATCCGTAGGGAGGAGGATTGTTGCCGGATGATCCGTACGGTGGCTGAGGCGGTGGTGGATTACCGCCGTAACCGTAACCTTGGCTCGATGGAGGATAACCAGACATGGTGAGAAGAAGAAGAAGAGAAGCTTTAAGTTTTTTCAGAGAGATCAAAGAAGAAAGTGAACAAATTAGTTTGCGAAATTTGGAATATGATTATATAAAAAAGGAAATTAGCTACGTCTCTGAATATACATATAAAGATATTTGGGGTTAAGGTATTTACGATCAAACCACTAGATTAGAACGAATTGGCTTTGTACGCGTTGAGGGTGTAATCGTAATTATAATGAACGAAGCGGTTTGGTTGAATGTATTGAGAGGCCCATTATTGAAATGGCAGGCAGACAAAGAAAAAAAATGTCTTGAGGCCCAGTAAATTAATCAATCATTCATATCCCCACACCCCCAAGCAATTTAACTATTGACTATTCTTTATCACATGAAAACTAAGAGAAACGTACTATATTATTGGTTAATAAAATAGTTAAAACTTTTAAATTGGTGATGCATCAGATAAAGTAAAAACCGTCATCAGTCGCCGTGATCGTGATCCCTGAAACGTATGATTCTATTGATGAACAGTCTCTCACACCGGTATCTATCACAGACAAACACAAGATTTCAGATAGAACATTATAGTAAACCACATCATCAATTGTTGAAACTTTAAGTACATTCTTCAGTATAGTAGAACGAAAAAAAAGATCGTAAAGTCTGATTTCTGAAATGGATTTTGTGGTTGCCAATTGGAGAGGACTTACATGACAATGGCTGAGAGACAGATGCAAAGGAAACCGATGGCGAAATGTCTCCCGGAATTTCTTATGGTTAAGAAAGATTTTCTCTGAGATGGGAGTGAATATGCCCGAAAAGATAAGAACCTGCCAGCCTAAAGGTAAGCATTGTCGGAAGGAGAATGAAGAAGTGCCCTGCAGAGAAAATTGGAGTTAGTAAACAAACCAAAAAAAGACGATGATTATCAGCAACGTAATATATAGATTAATCAAGAATACCTGGAAGTAATGTTGGATGAATCGCCCTGAACAGGTGATCCTTAGAATCATATCTTTTTTTAAGAAGAGTTAAGAAGACAAAAAGAGATAAACAAAAGCTGATTCTAGTTGAAATAGTTACATATACATGTGGATAAAGGATACTCAAGGAATTCGCCAAGATTAAGCCTATTGCTCCTAAAGATCTTATCAGCAGAATATTTAATATGATGTAGATCAATGAAAATACAAGCAACATGTTGTTTGAGCGCTTTAGTTGATTCTCTTTTCCAACTGCATGTAAAAATGCTTCGGAGGTTCCTGAAAAAAAATAGTTAAAAAGGAACAAGACTGGAAAAGGCAACTAGTACCCGCAAAATCAAGAAGCTTGATTTGTAGCAAACAAAAACTCAATAAGCATTAGGCAAATCTACATATGATTACTAACCGTTCATGGCCAGGACGATGATGTAGAGACAATAAAACTGTAGTGCCAAGGAAGCTTCTCCATCGCTCCATTTTTCACCATACAACAATCTGATAAAAGAGTACGAATAACTCGGGCCAAATGCCATAAATGTAAGACCTAGAAATTGCCAGGATGTTACCGAAGATTAGAGTCAAAAGTCTTGTATACATTGAGGATCTGGAATGAAGTTGAAAAGCTGAAGTCCAGTTTTAGGGACTGGTAAAACACATTACGAGTAGAAGTTTTTACTTCAATAGATAGGAATATACCTATTAATATTACAAACTTTAAGGCCTCGGTCAGACAAATTCTGAGTTTCTTGCTCTTATCCTGGTTATCATCATCTGTCAAGAGAGAGAGAGAGAAACAGAAACCATATATGGTAATGAACTTTAAGAAACTCAGGGAGGCAACTAATGTCATGAAACATTTGAACTAAGATTTATAACATACTGAACCACACTAAACTCAGGAGAGAGATAAAACTGATGCGAAACTGGCAAATGTAGTGTACGTACTTTCTTCAAAGGGAAGAAACACCATGCGTACAACTAAACTTCCTGGAATTTTAGAGATTTTGTGATGTATAATATATAATATACTTAAGTCGCCGTGGAAATTTAATATTTTTCACCGAAAAGACTTGCCTAGTTTGTCGACGATTCCATACACAGCCTGATTATAAGAAGTATCGAACCATACCAGGACCAACTTTTCACCTTCTTGGAGAATCAACTTTCGGAAGGACTGAAAAGTAAATAGCATACACATGTTCGAGAGCTGCTCATCGAAATCCATGAAGGTCCCGGGTCTGTGACATCACAAAATTGTTGAACATTACTGGAAATGAATGAGTTGACTGGAATATATCAAGAGTTAAGAATTCTGGTAAGGAGATCAAGTAATAGAGAGCTCATACCTGAAAGGAAAGAGATCTGAACTTTTGAAAACACCACAAAAGAGAAAATAAGCCCAGTACCCAAGAAATAAGGAACCTCCATATGCAACTTGGGACAGTGCAAAGATTATCCCTTTTTCCTACAAATGTTAAAGATTATTAGATTTTAATTCTATCATATCCCTTCAAGCATGCCTCTTTCGCCAGAAAAGAAATGGAATGGTATAAGAACTAATAACTTAATTAACACAAATAAGTACCATGTTGGGTTGCATGACTATGAGAGAGCACAAAATTACACAACGTGAAATTGTAGCAACAGTCTCAACAATCAGCCGCAATTGTAGAAGCATCAATGTCTGCGAGAGGATATACAAAGGCTCAGCCATTAGCTCCAGTACACATGCAGATCCTGCCAATTGAGTAGGTTAGTCCTAAAGTTGAGAAGAAAAAACAGATTTATCCTCCTGCTATATATTCGCAGAATCTAAAATTGGACTACAAAGAGAAATCTTCTTAGGAAAAGACAAAAGGTATCAATGGAGAACTTCTTCAAGAAAAAAAGAAAGTCGTAGTTTGGGAAGAAAACAATTGGATCTTGGTCAAATTGTTACAGGCATAAAAGTAAAGGACCACAAAACAGAAATTTTCAGATGCCAAGGCTGTAAGCCAAAGAAGTATGATAAAGGCATAGGAAACGACAGCAATGTACCGAATATGAGGATAGCCTGTGCATATGTGTCAGAGTAACTAAGGTTCTGCCACCATAACACAAAGATGCATGCTGCAATAGTAATGTCTATTCCGAGTGGAAATGTCAACCACGCCACTTTCAATAACCTAGTCACATCACTACTACTGCAGCACAAAATTAAGGAATATCACAGGCCGAAGATTTAGTCCTGAACCGATTATGTGAAGTGCTGTAAAGGATACCTTTTGATGTTAGCCCGCAAGCAAGCGCGCCGAAATCCCTCCCGGCTGAGAAACAAGACGCAGGTAACAAAAAGATGGAACTGGACGGCGTAGAGCTTCATTGCAATGGAAAAAGATAGACAATAAGCAAAACCGCATTGAATTTGTGGAAGAATCCACATAGCTAATCAAATGAAAGTTGAGTAAAATCAAGCAGAGCTTTTTCCACGGCTAAAAAAGTCCACACTCACTTTAGCAACTACAATGACAAGTTAGATTCGGGAACCTAACTGGAAAAGTTTTGCAACAACTAGAAGCCAAATTTATCCGTTCCATTAAGCTTAAAAAGACAACCTACATTGGCAAAATCTAAGAAGATATCTATATCTATTCGACCTAAAAATGGATAGATTACCGCATAGTCTTCTTCCGTTAGATGCCTCACGATCCAGGAATTGACTGTGAACGAGATGCCTCTGGAAATAAACTGGGTACCTAATTCCAAAATTCGGAAACCTAATTAGAAGCAAATTACAGAGAGGGAGTTGTCGAAAAAACGAAGACGAACCTAGTAAGTACTTGAACCTGCGCGAGAGACTAACGCTATCCCTATTACTGGCCATTATCGGAGATGCTAAACTCCAGTTCTTCGTCTATGTTTCGCTGGGTTTTCACACTCCAATTGCACGAATCGAAGAAAAGTTGATCTCGAAGTATGAAAACTCCATTAGCTTTTTACCCAAGTTTTTATGTCTAGCTGATGGCGCCGGTGAAGGAGACGACAGACGAGAGACTGGCGACTATACAAAAAATGTCAGTATTCTGCGATTATTTTATTTCGACTCGATTCCGGTTCTTAAAAATTCGGTTCGGTTGAAGCAACATATTTGCCGGATTGTTTAGTATTTTATTATAAGGATGTTTAGGTCTTTTAGGATGTATGTGATTATTTCAAAATAAATGTTCAATCGGTCATTAACTCAGTTCTATTGTACATTTTAGCTATTTGATCCATCAAAATGTCTCAGAACAAATTTGTCATTAGTTTTTACTTATAAGTTTTTCTGTTTTGGTTAGACACACACTTGCATATACTATTTTTGAGATATTTGCTCGCTGTTAATATTAGTTATAGAAATATGAAATATCAGATACATCACTAATCATTGACAATAAAATAAAGATGAAGTTATACACACATGTCACATGTCTAAGACTTGTCCTACTAAAGAATAATTATAGATTTTGGACCAATTTTTATTTGGTCAAGAACCGAATTTCATACCTAACCTTTCCCTTTTCTTTTTGATTGTTAAATTTTCTTCTTTTGCAATTATCACTAGTATAACACATAAAACCAACTAATTATGTAGTATCAAAATTTGTTTTATTTCAAAAATAAATATAAAATATGTTTATGAAATATATTTGCATTTTTATATATAATTATTTTCACATTCTTACAACATATTTTAGAAAACATATTTATGATAAGAATTTCATGTTAAATTAATCTTAAGACTTATATTTATAATAAAATAAATTTAAGAGATATTTATATTGAAACGAATAAAATAATATATTTTAAATTCTTATTAAAATTTTATTTTAGTTTAAGATTATTAGTTGAATATAATATAAACTTAATTAACATATTTATTTAAATTAAATGAAAATTAATTATAATATTTTTTTGTTGAAATTTCATTTATTACATTTTAAAGATATTATTAATGTTTGGTTACCGTTCATAATGTTTTCCTTCTTTGCAGTTTCCCAAATATAGATTCCAATTTAATAATGCAGTAATTAATTATTTTTTTGGGGGTCAATTGTATTAACTACATTTACCAAACAAAGCAAACAACAATTTAATTTATATTTATTTCTCTGAAAAAAAGGCTTCATTTTTTATCCATCTGAGCTTCATCTTTGTCGTCCCATGCTCGAGGCAAGGAGCTAATTTCTCTCCTTCTTTCTCCCACCAAAAAATCCAACCAAATCTCTCGATCTCATCGATGAAGATGAACAAGAAGAACCCAGATCAGAAACCAGATATGTCGTCTTCTTCATCTTCTCCCCTCTTCATATCATCCTTAATCATTCTCTGGTACACCTCCAACATCGGTGTTCTTCTCCTCAACAAGTTCCTCCTCTCCAATTACGGATTCAAATTCCCCATTTTCCTCACAATGTGTCACATGTCCGCTTGTGCAATCCTCAGCTACGTCTCCATCGTCTTCCTCAAACTTGTCCCTCTCCAATACCTCAAATCTCGTTCTCAGTTTCTCAAGGTTGCGACTCTCAGCATTGTCTTTTGTGCCTCCGTCGTCGGTGGCAACATCTCTCTTCGTTATCTCCCTGTCTCGTTTAATCAAGCCGTTGGTGCTACGACGCCGTTTTTCACTGCACTCTTCGCTTATATCATGACCTTTAAAGGAGAAGCTTGGGTCACTTATGGTGCTCTCGTCCCCGTTGTTACCGGTGTCGTTATCGCCAGTGGGGTACGTCTTTTTCTCTACAATTCTCGTAATGAAGACGTTTTTGGCTGTTGATTTTATTCTGGCGATTTTGGTTCTGTTTTCCTTTATTCATGATGTTCTACAGATTCTGAAAAAATGTGTCTTTTATCTGTAGATTGTGATGTCTGATTTGTTGTTAGTTTAGAGCATTATGATTGTTTGAGTAAACACAATTTTGAGTCCTGTGTTATCTAAAAAGCTTCATCCTTTAATTGTTTTTGACTCGGCTGCGTTATTTGAATCCTGTGTTGTCTAAAGCTTCAGACTTTCTTCTTGTACAACTATTGCCATTCTTACATTCTACATTGTTCTGTGAATTATTTGATCTCTTGCAAGGCCTTTGTTATTGAATGTTCGTTTTGTTGATTCCGGGATTTCTGTATTGGTCTTTATGAATGATCCTGATCTTGGTTCTGCCTTTATGGTCACAGGGTGAACCAGGTTTTCACTGGTTTGGATTCATTATGTGCATTAGTGCTACTGCAGCAAGAGCTTTTAAATCTGTTCTTCAAGACATCTTACTTTCTTCCGAGGGGTAAATCTGTTAATAAGATCATTACTTTGCTTTTGCAATGAATTTACTCAATGAATACGAAAATCTTTTTATACGTTTGTTATATAATGTAAAAGATTCTGCAACTAGTTGAATAAGCAAAGTAGGAAGCTGTAGCTACTTAATGAGTAATGCTCATCTTAGAGTTTAACATATCTTTAAGTTTTCTTGCAGAGAAAAGCTGAATTCGATGAATTTGATGCTGTACATGTCTCCAATAGCCGTCATTGCTCTTCTGCCCGTCACAATTTTTATGGAGCCGGATGTGATGAGTGTGACACTAACACTCGGAAGACAACATAAGTACATGTGGTTACTTCTGCTGGTTAACTCTGTAATGGCTTATTCAGCCAACTTGTTAAACTTTCTGGTAACCAAGCACACAAGCGCACTTACCCTCCAGGTAAAATACTGAAAAGATTTGAACTTTAACAAAACTAGAGGAGTGCCTTATTGGATCAAACATGTGTATGTTAATGTTTCAGGTCCTTGGAAATGCTAAAGGAGCGGTTGCAGTTGTGATCTCGATCCTGCTTTTCCGAAACCCGGTAACGGTGATGGGAATTGGCGGGTACAGTATAACCGTTCTCGGGGTTGTTGCTTATGGAGAGACTAAACGCAGGTTTAGATGAAGCTCAAAGACTCAGATTTTCTCTTACTCATTTTTGTATCTAACCTATAGACTTATACATACTTATATATAGGTAGATTTTTTTTGGTATGGAGAAACACTTTGCGTTCACTCACTATCTTGAAAAGAACCAAAAAGGATCGAAGTTAAATTCAGTTTTTGAGTTCGATTTCTACCAAAATATCAAATACAAACAAAATTCAGAGCAATATTGTCGACATTGAATATAAAAAATCACAATACTATTTTTTGGCTGCAAATCATAATCAAAATTTATTTAATTGACTCAACAAGTAGATGAGTCTCATATGTGTGGTGGAGCTTGGATGGTAAGGAATCACCAAGGAGATGCAGTTTGCCATGCGCGAGAAATGTTTCTACCCGCTTCAAATCGTATCGCTGCGGAACTAAGAGGGATCCTTTGGGTTTTACATAGTCTTTCTGACTTGCATTTGGATAACATTGAGATATGGTCTGATTGTAATGCTGCAATTGAAGCCATTATTGACCCATCAAATTGGCCAAGGTATCACTCCTTCCTTGACAAGATACATCGGCTAATATCAAGCTTTGGTAAAATCGTGTTTAAGGTATCTTCTACAAAAGCTAATGCGATCGCACGAGCTATTGCTGCGAGTGTCACAAGTGATGGACGGGGTCAGTCTTATTTTGCTAGTGGCGGTCCGGCTTGGTTATTTTCACGTATTGAAGAGGAAAAGAGGAAATGACATAGTTTGGAAGTCTTTCATAATCATTTATGCTCTGTTCTGTGGAGCTCTGTTTCTTATGATAGCATGTTCTGGTTTTTGACTTTGAATACGTTTCTTATTTTTAATAAAACAGAGGGCAAAAAAAAAAAATTGACTCAACAAGAACTTTGGGCCGGGTGGGTTCGAGTAAACCCGGCCCAAGATGAAGACCCGTAAAGTAAAACTTGTTTGAAGCAGAAGAAAACATGTCTTTGACTGTGACCATCAACTCTTCCATGGCTCTAGTTCAGAGACAACACTCTTATCTTCACCGTTATTTTCGTCTCATGGCTTCTCGTCCTCGTCTCTTCTCTCACTCTTCGTATCCTTCACTTCACCGTCACTCCTCATCTCTCACCTCTTCAACACCCAGGTATTGGTTAGCTCATTTTCCTCTTTTCACTTTTCCGTTTTGTTTTCCGGCGAAATTAGGCAGTGAATGAAGATTGAAGAGAAGAAGCAATACCAATTTGCTTCCGATGCTAAAAATCATGCCTTTATGCGATTGCTGAAAGTTTCCAAGTTCTCGGAATTGGGAATTTTATGTTCTACTCTTAAATTGAAAGTCAATTGCTTTCTTCAGCTTGATTGATTATTGAAGACTAGGCTATGTGTTTCTCTTCCATAGTGTGAAGCTAAACTTGATTGTATAACCATTATTCACTTG